ACTGGAATGACAGGCATATTTCACCATGCCTTGCTTACTGATTTTTGTTCTAGTAAAAAAACAAAACAGACAAACCAAAAACAAAGGAGCCACTAAAAACAAAGTGAGTATGTAAACAAAAACACTCATAATTATTTTTACATCCCCCCAAGGTGTACGAGTACGTGTGTGTGTGTGTGTGTGTGTGTGTATGTGTGTATCTACAGACATATAAATATAAATAACACATGGCAAAGAATAAAAAAAATCAGAAAAATATTTATGGAAATAGAAAAGAAGAAATGTACGTTTTATGAGTAAATCTGAGAAAAAGAGAAACTTTCCCTGCAGATAAACAAGTGTTCTTAAGTGAGCCAAAGGTCCTGATGACATCACTGCTAGCTGGCACACAGGCAAACCTCTCAGTTAGCAGTGTTGTTACACAACCCTCCTGCAGATGTGAATTCTTCCCTACATCCAAGCAAAACATCCTCCATCAACATTCTCTCCAGTTTTCTCCACCTACACCAAACACGAAGAAAGGGACCGTCCTCAAGAGTGATGTTCCCGCCACAGCCCCTCTCGCTTCCAATGCACCTCTTCACCTCCTTCCTTCCAGTTTCCTAAGACATGAGCACAGTCTTCACCCTTCAGAGCGGGGGGAAAAGGTCACCAGCACTCCAGGTGACAGAGGACACACTAGGCTCTCAGACGTGCTTATGCTCGGCTTGCTTCTTCGAGAAAGAGCAGAAGGGAGATGTGGGGGAGGAGGAAGCCAGGAAGAACATGAAGAACACAGGGCACAGAGTCTGACCACACGCCGACCCTTCCCTGGTGTGTGTCCTCGACCCCCTTTGTCGTCTTGGCTCCCACAGGCAACAGTCCTCACATCTGGTTCAAGCTTCTAACTTGCAGACAAGGAAACAGAAATCCAAATCCAACTTATGAACTTGTCCAAGGTCACACCAATGCTAATCGGCAAAGCGACAGGAAGTTCAGTGATCTGGCTCCTCGTCACACATTCTCTCCTGCCTCTGTCATAGTCTCCTCCGAGTGCATCTGGAGGCTGAAATACCAATGTTCTGAAGGGAAAAGGGAGAACTGAATACAGAATGTATATAAAAGAGAAAGTATGTGTTCCTGTCAAAGACAAGCTTGTTTGAACAGTATGCCCATTCAGCCAAATTTGGGTGGCTAGGAGTTATCTGCTTAGGTGAAAACGATGCCGCCACTAAACTGCATCCACTGTGTACCAGGAACGCAGCCTGGCTCCGTTGGTAGGGACAGACACCACATTACCTTGCGGTCTCCCTCCTCTTTAATACTGGAACAGCATGTGCAAATGTGTAACACCCAAAACATCCAGGGTTGACTGTAACTCTGACTTCCTTCCATGTTCTTGGCTATAAACTACTTATTTCATCTCATGTCCTCATTCCATGATGCACTGAAATTGTTTCCTCATTTATTTCAATGGTGGGGGTTAAACTGACCCTTGACTCACTAGGCTCTGCCGCTCTACTGCAGGGCTACCCCTGAGCAATGCACAAAATGTAAATGAAGGCTATACTGGTTACCTTTCTCATGACTGAACACCTCACGGAAGCAACCTGAGAAGGAGTTTTGACTCACAAAGGTCCCTATGTATCCTGGCTGGTGTGGCACAGAGTCGCCTCTCAGTTTCTGGTGGTGGGAACTCTCAGCTTGCTCACACTGCAGCCAAGCAAGAAGCAAAGAGCTCAGCCTCCTGCTTCAACCCCCCAAGTAACAGGATTCCAGGTGTGTGCCACACAGAACCCTCCCCAGTTTCTCACCGAGGGCACAGGCAACCCAAAGTAAGGAATAACTGGGGGACAAAAGCTATTGGATAAAATGGAGTGATGCTAGGACTCTCCCAAACATTCTGCAGCTTCCCAAAACAGTGTCACCAACTGCAGACCAAGTGTTCAAACCCATCATTTTGTGGCGGCTATAACAGAGGAAGCAGATGCATTTGCTATATTCCCTAGTTACAAATAAGTCTCTCAGACACTGTATACTTTGACTGATGCCTACCTAAAGTAAATGGACACTGAGCCACACTGCCAAGAGGCCTTCAAAAATCCTTCTAGTCCTAGATGGAGCTCTGTGGTTCCAGGACACCAACGATATGCTCACTTTGACTACACTGGAAACTTGAATGTTCGTATGGCTATTTCATAAAAATGAAGAGATACTACCAATTAGTGAATGTACACTTGTTCTAAAGTCTCAGGAATAAATAGGAATAAAAGACCATTACTTTACTAGTCTTCCAGTATGCATGAACTAGGGAAGACATTTTATACCACAACTCTTAAATATTGGGCACTCTTGAAATAACAAATGACATCATATTCAACACAGTTTGACTATTCAGAAACAAAAGTTTACTTGAAAGGGAATTATTGATATTTGACTCCACTCTAGTTCAGGGTTACTCCTGTTTTGTTTCCTTCTAAATATTATTGTATATGCTAATACAAGTAAAGAGTCATTAAATCAATAAACAGTACATCCTGAAAACCAGGAGAAAAATCAAGTTCCACTTCTTGAATCACTGCTAAAATTATGGCTTAATTGTTTTTAAATGTTCATCTTTTTTTTTCTATACCTCACATTTGCCATTGATGAAATGTTTTCACCTTAAGTGGCTGTCACATCAATTATAAATTTTAAATTTATTTTAATTAGAACTTCATGTTATAATTACTGGAAGCAATAGCAGTACTACTACACTATTACTACAAGATTTATTTTTTTATGGTGCTGGGGATTGAACTCAGGACCTTGTCCAAGTGCTACTCCATCAAGCCAAGTACTCACTTCTATAAAATTAGTTTGAAATTAGCCCCTTAACTATGTCAAAATGCTTAATATTAAATCACCCCTCAAAGCATGGGAAGCAGATGAAATCCTGAGTGACTGTGTACTTTAGACATGAGCACAGGCATGTCAAAGATTCCAATGTCTCAGACACATCGGAATGACAAGGCCTTCCCCAGGTCAGGCTCTGGAGAATCAGCAGGCTTCCCCTGATCAAAGTATGGATACAGCTGACCTTTAGCTAAAACCAGTGCACACAGGAAGTACAGACCACAGCTTCCTCATCCCAGATGACTACAATCCCATACTGCTCCCCTATAGAAACCCCCTATTCCTGCTGAGTTTCCAGACCATGGTTGCTGTTTCTCTATCTGAGCTCATGGCCCATTCCATCCCAGCTGGATGTTACTTGTATCTGTCATTTCTACATTCCCTTTTGTCCCAGTCAGATCAACCACATGACTACATCAAAATGATTAATATTAAATAGTCCCCCAGTGGTTAAATAAAGGCCTAAAATTATGTCACAGAAGTATTAAATGAAACAACAAAAAAATCGGAGAAATTTATCAATCTAAAAAAATTACAACCATTTTTAGTATCTTTCTTGATCCCAAATAAAGAGTTAGAAGCAGTTACTTGGGTATTCAACAACTCTTGAAATATCAATAGGTGGAGGACCACATTTAATTCCTTCATCCCATAGTTTGAACACTGAGGATGCTGACAATCTTTAACACCATCAATTGATACAGATGATAAACAATAGGCCTACAAAGTCAAGAGTCATGAGGAAACCAACTTTCCAGGCTACTCAAAAGAATTTTAAGTCTTGAAGGAAGCCAATGTCAGTGACTAACACTTAAAGTTTTTATGTGTCAAACATTGGTTGTCACTCTCATTTGAAAACACAGCAACCTGCAACTGTGTTGTTTATTGTCTTTCTCACTAGCCCAAAGACTCCACAGTGATAGGGACTCACTGCCAATCCATGACCTAGTATAAGCAACCCAACGCAGGCATTCAATTATTATTTGCTGATTAAATCAGGTCATCCATGATTCAAATATTTTAACTGTTGGCCATAACCTATGGGGTTATAAAGATGCAGACTAGGAAAAGGTGCATCACAACCAATAAAATCAAGTCTTTAGTGAATTTTTTACTTTATATGTCCCACATTTATGACATGCCCATCTCTTCTCCCTTCCTTTCCACATGCCAGACAATCATTCTAATACAGAGTCACATTCCCAGCTCCTAACACATATTTCTTGCTAAGGATGAACACTTTTTTTAAGGTCTAAAAAAAAAAAAGTCACCATGTTATGTTCATAATTTATTTTGTTCATTTGTTCCCCCACAATAATCATGGTGTAATTAACACTACAACTTCGATATAGCAAAGTCTCAAGTTTCCAGAGGTTATATCTGTTTTCAAGATGACAGAGCTAAATATAAGTACAGATACTACCTGGCCAAATAATCATTCCTCTGGTACTTTGCTCAGAAAACGTGACTTAACTAAATAGGGCTTCAATTATAGTAATTATGACTTGATTAATAAGAAAGACATAGGTTTTGAAGGTGGATAGGCCTGAATTCAGTACCTGCCTTTGCCACTAACCAACTGTGTGGATTTGGACCTACAACTCAATGTCTCTGGGCTTTGATTTCTTGACATGTAAAATTGGGAACGTTAGTAAGATAAAGTTTTAAATGTTTTGCTATATGAAAATAATGTAGATCAACAAGTATCATATTATTTCAAATAACTATTAAAGTTATGTTTCTGGTCTCATAAGTAAGATTCAGTATACTAAACCAGAATTTGAATGTGTAAAACATTATGAAATGAGAAATGTATGGGATTAAACAGCAAAGTATGGCAACAGGGTAAAAGTGGCATAGAGATGTCCACAAGTTTGTAATGGTACTAGTTGACACACACCTAAATCAAGATGTAGGTACCCTGTTGGGTCAGGTTATCATAAGAACAGAGGTAACAACGCTGCTTAACCCTACAACCAAAACCAAACTATTTCATCCTTAAGATCAGAGCAACATCCGTCTTCTTCCTCCACGGCCTGGCTGGTGCTCAATGAAAGTGTTAGGAAAACCACCCACTACTGCCCAGGGTACCCTGGAGCTAGGCACTGAGATTCGGAGCAACTCACCCCGGAGACTCCGCTGGTATTGCCCCAGACTGTCCTCCAGGGTAGAGTTCCCTGGGGACTTCGCCATGGGGTCAGAGATGGGAGTTATGCGGGAAAGTGTCCAGTGCACCCCTCCAGGAACAGGCCTAGCGCTGGGGACTGGGGAATGCCTGCCTGCTTCCTGTCGCTGCTGTCACTAGGGAGCCAGGAACCCCGGACCGAGCTCCTGGGGGCTTTTCCTACCCCCTGGCCCTCATGATGATCGTCGGGAGTTGTAGTTCGCAGGCTCAAAGCCTGCACCCTCGAGAGTCCTATAAGCCTTCCAGCCACACTACGATTCCCAGAGGGCTATGCGCTCGGGGACGCCACTCCGGCAGTTTAGCGGCCTGAGCCCGTTGCCAAGAGACGGGCTGGCAGGCCGCGCCCTTTCCCTTCTGCCCAGTTTGGGTTAGTCCTGCTGTCTTGCCGTCCTCCAGCCACCTGGATCGACCCGCCGACAGGAGGGGCCCGGTGAAGGCCTAGGCTCTGCAAAATGGGCCGTTGTGGAGTTAATCCCTGAGCCCTCTCAAGGATTGACTGTAAACTCTGAGTTAGGATTTCCGTCAAAATTGTTTTTCCCTAGAAAACGAAGCCGTACATCTTCCCATCAGCCGGACTGTGAGGGCGGCCGACACTACAACTCCTAGCATGCCCAGCGCCCCGCCCTCCGCGTGGAGTTGGCGCGCTGCCCGCTGGGAGTCGTAGTCCTGGTTGGTTGCGGTCCTCCTCCAGCCAGGCAGCTCTCCATTGTTCCAGCGGGTCTTGAGGGCACGCCTGCGCAGTGGGCGGCTGAGAGAGAGAGCGTGTGGCTGAGACCCCTCCTCAAAGCCCCCTTTCATTGTCTGGGTCCGGCGCCTGCGCAGTGAGGCATCGCTGGGCCCCGGCAGGAGGAGGGAGAGGACCTGGCTGGTTGCCCTCTGCGGGGCGCCTGCGCACTGAGCCGCCGCTCACTGCCGTTCCCGCTATGTGTGGGGCGTGTGTGGAATAACGTTATTGCCCAGCGGAACCGAGGGGGCCGGAGCTCCACCGCGGCGGCGGCGGCGAAGACGACGACAACGGCGACGGGGTGGGGGGTGGAGGACAGCGTGGCAGAGACTGACGGGACGCGCCGCGCCCCGCCTCCCGGTCCGGTCCCTCTCCGCGGTGAGGGGTAAGTGATGCGCTCGGGGTCGGCGCGGCCCTGGGGTTCTGCACAGCCTCGCCCTCCCTCGGTTCCTGCGGCCGGGGTCGGGGCGCGGCCCGCGGCGGGGTGCATGCAGTGCGAGCCTGGAGGCCGAGGGGCGCTGCCCGGACGCCCCGCGCGGCCGCCGCCCTCCCCTCCCTCCTCCCCTCCCCCACGGACCGCGGCCCGACGCCCGGGGCACGGCTTCCCTCCCGTGCTCCCCGGTCCTCTCCAGCTGCCTCCCGGGCTTTTGTGCAGCCGCCGCTGCGGGCGGAGCGTCGAGGGAATGGCTGCTCGGCCGCCGCTAGGGACCGAGTTTTGCAGGGCGCCCATCCCTTTTGTAGGGTTTGGTTTCGGGGTGTGTGGAGCGGGTGGCGGTGGGGAGGTCGGACGACGACGCCGCCGACGAGCCTTCGGGTGGTGTCGCGGGAGGGCGTGGAAGACGTGCTGTCAGGCAGGCTGCCCCGCGCGCCACTGCACCCCACGTCGCCCCGGGCTGGGTAGTAAACCCCCCGCGGGAGGAGCGAGCGGCTTCCTGTCGGCTTCATTGTCCCAGGATTCAGTTGTAGGGTTTGGATCTGTTCCCCTTCCATTTTACTCAAGGGGGAGAAATAGCAGCTGCGTTGACACGGAAGGGAAAGACAAGGAAATGTGTCCTAAGTCATATGATCTCTGTTTTATGGTCTTGAGTAGTTTTACTGGTTTTTGTGGTTCTTTTTTGCCCAAAATATAAAGAAGACGGGCTGTACCTGCTAGAGTCCAAGCCTGCCAAGGTGATCAATACAAATTACTAGGTGACAATGAGGGCTGGGCTAGGTAGGGCCTAACAGCGAAGCTGTTGTTTAGCGGGGAAATGAACCAGCAGAATTATTTTTTCCACTGGGTGGGTAATGCGTTCATGTTCCTAAGGGAATACATTAGGATACGTTTAAAGCAAACAAAACAAAAAATAGGCCGGGTATATTTCACATTCTGAAATTGATTGGGTTTTATTCTGTTGATGAAATTTCAACCGTTGGAGAGGAATTTGTGGATGCAGACAATACATATAGTTGAAAATGCACCCTTTAAAATGATTTGAATCTTAAGGGTATGGTATTTGCAGTGCTGTGCCAGCCTTTCTGCTTAAAACAAGCAGACGATAGGATGAAGCAGGATGAGGGGCAGGTGGAGGGATAATGTGAGTTACATTATAAAGACAGAACCTAAATCTTTATGGATATAGTCCTATGTACTTAGCCTTCAGAGACCGAGAAATTCAGCACTGAGAAATAGCAAGGGTTTTTGGGTTTTTTTTTTTTTGTCACAGTTTTAAAACAATAAAACCAGGGATGCTTTTAGTTTTTCCTTTTGTAAGTACTACAAAACTTTGGTGTACCAAAACGGGAGTCTTAAGTGGGCCTAACAGAAGCTAAGAAGATACTAACACTGGCAAAGTGGGCTGCCTTGTCTGCCTCCCCAAAGCAATGGAAGGCAGAGCTGAATAAAACCAGGGTCTCTACTGCAGTGTGCTCTCTTCTGTGTGCCCAAGTCCCCTGCCCTGCATAAATATATAGAACATTTCCTACATGCTCCTAAGTGCTCTTTTTTTCTTTTTTAAACGTGAGTCTCAACAATTGTATTAATTTACTCCTCGTGTTGTGTTATAAATTATTAATTATACTGAAGTGGAGCTTGAGTTTTATAGACTAAGGGAAAATGTCTTTAACATGTGCTTTTTGTAAAAACAGACTGGCTTCCCTACTTAGTAACGAAATATGTCCTGACTTTCAGTAATACTGTATAGTGTGGTCAACTCTATAACTCTATAACCTGTGTTACAAATAAAAAGTACACACAAGAACTTAATGATGTTTGTTTTTCTTTAATTAGTAAATCATGTTCTCAGCTTACACTAGAACTTACCTTTTGATAACATATTTTTGGGAGGCTTATTTTGCTATAAAATGGAGGTTTTATTAAAATACTTTTGTTCTTTCATTCTGCTCAATCTTAATGTTATTTTTAGAATGTATTAAATTTCAGCCAATTTTTTGTTTGTTTTGGGGGGTGGGCTCAAGACAGGGTTTCTCTATGTAACCATGGCTGTCCAGAAACTCACTCTGTATGTAGTTCAGGCTGGCCTAGAACTCAGAGATCCACCTGCCTCTGCCTCCCCAAGTACTAGGATCAAAGGTGTGTGCCACCACCACCCAGCTTTGTTAGTTGGTTTTTTAGAGACAAGGTTTCTCTGTGTAGCTCTGGCTGTTCTAGAACTTGCTGTGTAGATAGGCTGGCTTTAAACTCAAAGGTCCACCTGCCTCTGCCTCCTGAGTGCTGGGATAAAAAGCCAATGTGTTGGGCTTAGGTTCAGCCAGTTTTTAAAAAATTCATAATTAGATTCCATGTGTGAATTTTATTCAGTAAAATTTTAAATATATTTTACTAATAAATTTCATGGTATCCTAAAATTATTTTGTGTGGAATACATGTGTGGAATCTTCATGTTTCTTATTTTAGCATTAGAATAATGAAATCTACATTGTGAACATTAATATTAGTTCTGCATGCTAATGCAGGTATCAGATGGTTTTTAAAATTCTGTACTTAGTAACTTGTTTCACTTTCTCATTTCTTTTTATTTTCTGTGGTTGGGGATCAAAACTCAAAGTGTATTACTGCATCTGCTAGTAATCAGATATTGCTCCTCTGGTGATAAAAGCTCTATATTTGAGCTTCTTATTTGTATGGCTTTACATTCGTGTGTGTGTGTGTGTGTGTGTGTGTGTGTGTGTGTGTGTGTTTGTTTGTTTGCATGTATGTCGGTATGTTCACACGTGTCAGGGCATGCATGTGTCTGTGCACATGGAGATCTGAGGTTAAAATGCTTTTCTACATTGTTCATTTTGAGTCAGGGTGTCTCTGTTGAACCCAGAGCTTATGGATATGTCACTAGCCAGCTTGTTCCAGGGATCCCCCATCATTACCTTTGAGACTAATGTACCTTCCTACACAGGTCTCCATACCCACTCAGCATTTACATAGGTTCTGGTGATCTGAACCCTGTCTGGTCTTCTTGTTTGCCCGGCAAGTCCTTGAACCATACCCTGTATGGTTTATTCACTCAACAAAATTCTGTTCCTGATAAATATTTTTACTATTTAATACATCATGACTTTTTTCTTCTGTCTTAAACATCAGGTTGTCAAGTAGGGTACTAGTCTAATAAGAATATGATAGGTGATGGTAAGTTGTAAAATACCTGTATAGCTGTAAGTTATTCTGAATTAGCTCTATACCACCAATGTTGATGAGTAGCTATTTAATAAAGCATTAAACACTGATCTCTTTCACACAAAAAATAGGGTCATGTTTAGTGGAGTAAATGCCTCAGACCATTTTTTCTCATTTCCTTTTCCTTAACAATGAAGATTTCTAGTAATTACTCATGGCAAAGTGAGCTTTGATTTATTTGCTCTAGTGTTTTATGAGGGATGTGTTCAGTAATGAGTTCACTTTTTTGTGGTATAAAAAGAATAGGAAAACATCTGTGATTGATTAAACTGGATATATTAACTGGTTTGGTTGAAATGATTGTGCAACAGGATATGTACTTTTTTAAGGCAAAGTAACATAGCCAAAATGTATGAAACCCATTTACATGTGAAACAAAAGCATAAAAGAAACTAACAGGAGGAGTGCTAATGTCATCTAAATTACTTACATACAAAGGCAACTGAATAGAAGTAGGAAAGAATCCCAAGCGTCGCATAGAACTGAAAACCAAGTGAGACATGGCAGAGAACAAGGAACCATTTTGGTGCACTACTAATAAGTGCTGTAGAAAACATTTCTCTTTGGGGGCATGGTATTATTGAGAAAGTGAAGAATACCTACATTGTATGGAACACCTACTAAATGGAAGTTTTTGCAACATTTTTCTTTATCAGGGTATCATGTGACACGTTTAAAGTTGAAAAACTAAGGGTTGGAGAAATGGCTCAGCAGTCATGACCACTAGCTGCTCTTGTAGAAAACCCAGGTTTAGTTCCCAACATCCATGTGGTAGCTCACAACAGCCTGTTACTCCAGTTCTAGGGAGTCAGGCACCCTCTTTTGGAGTTGACACCAGGAACACACATGGACAGTATCTGTACATGCAGGTAAAAGACATAAAAATTTTAATAAGCTCTTTTACAAATTTGATAAAACTCAAAGCACAGAATTAGTTAATAATTTTCTATGACACACATTACAGAATTATTGAGTCTTTAACCAAACCTTTGTCTTTTTGACCAAAGTCAAAATTCTTTTGACTCCTCTTTCTTTGTAAGTTTAATGATGATACTTATTCCCTTACTGTCATTAATAAAATGCTAGAGTTAGAAGCATTTTACAAGTCTTCTGTACAGTATGCCTGTAGATGTAACTGTCTTATTAAAATAGAAACACAGAGCCAAATGCAAAGTTGAAAGCCCAAGAGGTCAGAGCAGTAGCTAAGAGCTAAAAACCCTTTCTTACCCTTCACTGCCACTGCTGTCCTTCCCCTCTGAAAGAGACCTACTTCCTGTGTTTCTGTCTTTTTATTGACTTTCTGTTCTGCCTTCTCATTGGT